CTTCCGGCGGGGTGTGCCGATGGCGTCCGTGCTGGACAGCGAGAGGAGCCGGGAGCGGCGGCAGCAGGAGCGGGAGCGGGAGGCGCTGCTGGCGCAGGTGGGGTGACCGGCCCGGCCCAGCCTTGCCCCGGGGCCGCTGAGCACTCCCCGTTCTCCAGGCTGGGCGTTGGGTGCTGCGCGGGGTCGGTGCGCCCCTGAAAGCTGCCGTGGTCGCGGCAGGCGAAGGAGGGGACGCCGTGGGCAGAGCCCCTTCTGTGCCAAGGGGAGCTGGGCTGCGCTCTGGGAGTGGGCAGACTCAGCCTGGAACTTCTGACTGACACCCACCTGATTTCTTGCGTTTTGCCACTCGTGGTGTTGATCCTCTTGGTGTTTCACTTATTATGTATTTCTGTGGTTACACCTTTGGAAAGAACCGGAGTCGTTCATCTTTATATTCTCTCTTCAGATTTTTTTACACATTGATAAGAAGGCACCGCTCTCACTCCCCGCMCGGCCTTTTCTAGGCTAAACAGGCGCAGCTCAGCCTTTCCTTAAATGAGACACAAAAGGCAACTSCTTCTCCTTGTCTTGTGGCCTGTCTTTCCTAAAGAGTCTGTATCTCTCCATTGCAACACTGGGCATGGAGTGGTAATAAGTTGAAGTTGTGTGCGTGTGTTAAGAACCGGGAGCCTGATTTTATAGGGTCAGTTGCTTGCCTGTGTTGTTGTAGTGTAAGCCAAGAAGGAGGCTCCCACTCATAGGTGCTTTAGTACAGTTGCTGTGACCTGGGGACCTGTGCTAATCATGATGCATTTCCTTCAAAACCTGCCTGTATGCTGGTTTTGGTATTTGTGGTAATTCTGGTTGGGACTTGTAAGTAGAGTGAATGCTGAAGTCATAAATGGCACATCACTTAGGTGACATGGCTCGTTTTGGAGTTTAAGAGGGGATAACAAGAAAAGTGTAAGACAAGAGAGTGCATAAAATGAGTATGAGGTTGTGGTGATGGRCTTTTGACAAAAGACCAGAGTAAGCAGCAACCAAATCTTACTGGGCAAACAYACTTTCAGAAAAAAAGTTGATTGGAAAATGGTCTGAACAGCCTGATGCTTACGCAACAGTGATGCCTTTTCTCAAGGCAAAGCAGAAAGAGAGAGGATTTAATATCCTATATTGTGTGGACATCTCCCTTTTACAATTGTKAATAATTTCTTGGCAATAAAAGCTCCCTTCAGTGATTTCTTTGTGACAAACAGTTAAAGGGAAATGCTTTTTACTTAGCAATAGTGAAACACACTACGCTGTAGAAGTTTGTTGGTGTTGTTAAAATGCCTGTTGCTGTACTTTATATGTTTAAGATTGCTCCTTTGCTCAGTTCAACCTCTTGGATGTTCAGAAAATAGACTTAACAGCAAGCAAAACTTACATAGGACTCCATTATCCTACTTTACCTTTTCTTCTCAGCTASTGCCACTTGTACACCAAGCTGTCTGGGCTGATGCCACTGGCTTAGAATCCTASAACAGCCCTGCTTGGAAAGACCTTGAAAGATCATTTGGTACAACCCCTTGTGGGAAAAGGAGCCTGAGTAAGATTATCTAGTGCTCTGTTCAGTCACGTCTTGAAAAACTCTGGTGATGKGKTTAAGGAARTTTTCCYRTCTGACCCTTCAGGARGCACTGTGGCAGTCACACTSCCACCACCTGAGGCTGGCACTGCTGGGACTGAAGCCCCTTTGTGGAGGGTGGGCCAGTGGGCCACCATGTGCTCTGCTTGACTCCCTACACACACCACTCACACAGTCAGACAAGTTTCATTTAATCAGCTTGACTCCAGATTTTCCATAGCAGAGTCACAGACATCTGGATCCTTAAAACAATTTAATCTTCGTGCAAAACACAAAGCCAGGTGAGCTGGGTGCCTCCAAGGAGAGGCCCTGAACAGCCAAATCCCTGAGCTTTTATACCCTTACGGTCTAAGTGCACCATAGTCTGGGCTCCTGCTGAGTCCTTGGCTCCTGCTGTTCTGAGTGTCCGCTCTCCTGGCTGCCCCAAAGGTCTCTCTGCTGTGCAAAGGGTCAGGGCCTTTTGCCTGGGGCTCCTGTCATTTCCCAACACCCAGAGCACAAACTGCAGCTCATGCTGCAGCTGCACACTGAGCTGTGTGCACCAAAGATATTCCTCATCAGGGATTCCACCCCTTGACCTCTCCCTGTGGCTCCCTCCTTGTGGAGAGAGAACTTCTGTTCTCTRTAGATGTGCTTTACTGGGATACTGTGATGAGTTTCCTCCCTTAGGTGTCTCTTCTGCGGGGAGAAAAGGCCTAACTTACTCAGGCTTCCCTCACAGGGCAATTTCTCCAGCCCTGTGATCATCTTCATATCTCTCCTGTGCATATTCCAGTTTGTCTGTGTCTTTCCCGAGCAGTGGGGTTGGTCCCAGCACGGGGCACTGTGCTCTGGTGCAGCCTGACAAAGGCTGAGCACAGTGGGATGATGATGTCTCTATCTGTGCCAGCGATGCACCTGCAGATGCAGCCCAGGATCCAGKGTGCCTTTGTTGCTGCCTGTTTTAAACTCCATACATTTCTTGCTAGCCTGCTCTTCCAGCTTCTCCAGGTGTCTCTGTAGGATGTCTTRCCTTCGTGTTGTGTCCACCACCCAGTCTGGTGTCATCAGAAAACTTGATGAGGTTGTTTTCAGTTCCATCATCCAGATAATTTATGAAGATGTTGAGCAYSTAGAGCCCAGTATTGATCCTGGAGKATCCACTTGTGACAAGCTGCCAGCCTGACTAAAAATCATTGATAAATGCATAGATTTTGTGAAAGTTTTTTACAGCATYAGACATTATTGTAGTAGTTTATGAAATAATAATTTTCCTCTTTTGCTATTTGCCTCTGTTTGCATCAACAGTTTAACATGAAGTAAAAGTGTTCTGTGAGGATGTTATATAAAAATTTTTCTACAACTTCCTTTACCAAATTTYTGTGGATGGTTTTTACTTCTTTTGTTAATACCTCTAAAATACTGCTAATTTGAAGCAAGAATATTTTACACATAGCATTAAACTCTTCTGTGGTGTTTTTATAGTTACTGGATTATGGTGTTAAAAATACTGCAATCTGTGGAAAAGGCAATTTAACCTCTAATTGTGTTTGGGTAAATCTCAAATTAGGGAGGCAGTAAAGCCGAGGAAGGAGGTTTAGTTGTTGGAGGAACACAACAGGAATAAGCCAAAGGTACTCTCATAGAGGAATGGTTGATGTCAGGGATGAGAGCACTTCTTACTGACATGGCGAGAAAGGGCACAGATTGCTTTTAGCAGAATTTGAGTGTTGCTAAAAAATGTCTTGAGCACAAGGGACTACACTTTTGACTGCACTGTTGGGGTATGTCTTGAAGTCTTTGATGGTACTGTAGCTTCATAGATCCTAGTTCTTGGGGTTCATATGTTCTTGTAGGTTTAGATGCTGCTCATCAGCCTAGTTGAAGAATATTAGAGAAATTGGTTTGGACTTTTTAGAATGCAACAAACTGATATATTATTGCTAAGATGTAGTGCATTAAAAGGTATGTATGCAGGATCTGGGTTGAATTTTGTCATTTTCTTTGATTTGAATAAGAAACAGATCATCATTGTATTTTTCAGCATATTTTTAAAAATTCATGAATACAAATGACTCCTATGTGAACACCTTAAAAATATATCTGCAATATTTGTGTGTTATTAAATAAAACCAAATGCACTACCATAATTTTCTGGAGTAAGGCAATCACTGATTTTCTGTGTACAGCAGTGAGTTCACAGTTGGCTTTTACCACTCAAAACTAACAACTGGGGAGTAAATAGCTCTATAAAGRTGCTACATCATTACTTAGACAAAAGCAAAATCTGATCAAGTGTTAGAATTACTGTGAGAAGAATAAAGAACAAAGGAAAAGGTTGCACAGACATATTACTCATTTCTGTGTAATATCAAATAATTTATGTAGTCTAGGTTCCAGCATCTCAAGAAGAACCAAACAGCCTCAGAGAAAGTGWGAAGAAAGGTGCAGAGATGATCTTGGTACAGACTTTCCAAGGACACTTGAGGCTTTGAGATGAGGGGAAGATAGGCTGAAAATAATACAAGAGAGTTCTGTAAAATTGTTAGATGTTTCTTTCAGCTCAAGAGCTAGTTTTTTTTTTTTAAGGGATTAGCAGGAAGCCAGCTTAGAGTAGACAAAAGTGAATTTTCAGATGATGCACAGAGAAATTGTAGGGTCTCTTATATTGCATGTTGCAAATACTGGCACTGCAATTCTATCCAGATAAGAATAACCTAAAATCTAAAATATGTGTTGAAAGTTATTTATTGAAAAGTTGGTGAGCCTCAAATTTCTGGAGGATGCCGGAATATTTTGGAAATGGCTCACTTTTTACATAAGCCTGTGTACACTTTTGTCAGCTTCCTGGGCATTACTGGACATTTTTTAGTTAGGATAGTAGCTTGGATTCTCAGTTCTGAGAATGTTAGAGCACTGAGAAATCCAATACAGGAAAACAGAATGGAGTGTAGTTTRTGAAATGCTAGGCACTGTGATTCTTCAAGTCCATTTTTTGTGGAGTGTAGGAATGGATCTGGACACCATGACATTGTTTTCTACAGAATTGAACCATTAGAGGTGTTTGGTCCCTCTCAACTGTATGGCCATTGAGAAACTTCCCTGATGTGACTTTTCAGCTCTTACTGAAAGTCATATTGTAGAGTCTGTGTTACTTTTCCACAGTGTTGTTTTCACTTCTAAGCAATCTAAAGCTAAGTCAGATTMTCGATTTTCAAAGATTCTCTTGGGTGCATTGGATAATACTGAAACATACATTAATGATCAAATGGTTTTCTTTGCTGTTGCYTGCAGAATTGCTGTGTTCATCATGTTATGACTGTCCTTGAACTATTTCTTTTCCTTGCAGTAAGAAAAGTTGAAGTACAGAGAGGACATATTGAAAGTTGKGAGTTTCCTGTCCTCCCCACTATTCTGTACTAGAGTTATAGAATGTGTTAGCAAAAGTGTATTATAAGCATTTTATCTATACAAGTCCATGTGGCACAAAGGAGGCTGTAGAGATGATACCT